CTGTAACCCGAGACGACGAGGTGAGCAGGGATGGACCGCTCGACGTCTTTCCTCCCTGTCGCCCACACTACAAAGGTACCGCCGAAATGGATCTGTCATGTCCATTACCAGCAGGCGATGAGGCGGACGACGAGGAGGCGGGCCGAAAAACTAGATGTGATTTAGGAGCGTGGGGAGTATCCAAAGAAATAGGCTGTACACGAACATCTTGGGAGACTCCAAAAGGGTGCACGGTGGTTGCTGTTGACGGTAGTACCGGCTGAACTCCGCCATCGGCTTGTCATTTCTTACCCCTCCAGCCGCTTTTTGTCGAAGTGGAAGCGTCCGACGAGTGCTCTGTGTGTGAGGACTGTTTCGTGTCCGATGTGTCAGATGAGCTGCGGGCGCGTCCTAAGGGGTGATTTCGATGTGGGTTGCGTCCTGTAGGGCGTCTATACGAGGTCATGCACTTTTTCCACTGACCCCAAAGGGTGGGATCTTTTTCCATACAGAACTTGATGTCATTGTTAAGCAAGCCGGTGACGTTCACGAAACCACGAATACAGTATTTGAAGGAGTGGTCTTCTCCTAAGCAGTTGAGGCACTTGCCCTTGTACAGTCGAAGCGCGTGGCGGCGCTCTTCAGCCGAGACCAAGGGGGTGAACAATGGCGGATCCTTCTTGGTCAGAGCCATCTCATTAGCGACGTTGTACACCTCTTGGAAGTGTCCTTGCAACGGCCAGTCGCTGTAGTGCAACAGAAAAGGGTCCCGATCATCATTAGGTAGAGGGTCAACACTCATCACGGCGGCCGAAGAACCTTGGCTCCACGAAGAGGTCACCATCGAACGCAACGCCGAAGAAGCTACAGCACGCGAAACAGCAGACGAACTCCTAGCATTCGTGGAAAATACCGAAAAGAAATCATCTCCATGTACCGCCGGCGTGTGCGCGAACGCACGCTTGTCAAACACATCCCACATATCATCCAGACACGAAGCATGTCGCCCAAAAGGGGCTTCTATGGAGAGCTGCTCATCCTTGTACACCTGCCCAGACACTACCGGAAACTGCTTCAACATGGAGTCTCGAACAGCTATCTGCACTTGCGCATCCGAAGGCTTGAACGCGTGGTGGGAAACTATGACGGTCATGGCCAGAGCCTTATAGCGACGAACGTATTCTCCGTAGGTCTCGCCGTTGGATACGCCAAAACTACGAAGATCATCAATCCCCGAGCTCTTGTCTTGAGTGTCCCAGGCGGCCGCCAATTTCTGGATGAAGAAGGCGTACGTCGAGGGCCCTGCCGGTTCCTTGCGCAGATGGTTTTCTACCTGTAGGAAGGTGGCATCAAGAAATTCCAGNAAGAAATTCCAGCGTGGCACGGTTGGTGGTTTGGCCTTCAACGACAGCAGCACGGACACGTTTGCGCAACAACGGAAGCCATCCGGTGACCCAGGTGGAGGGATTGAAAGACTTCTTGCGCTTGACGTCGCTTTTGTTGAGGATCTCTGTGACCACACCCTTGCAGCTAGACACGAAGCAAGCAAATTCATCAGGATCAAGACCGAGGGGCAAGCGCGTGACACTATCAAGTTGTTCCGGCTTCAGCTTGNGATTGAAAGACTTCTTGCGCTTGACGTCGCTTTTGTTGAGGATCTCTGTGACCACACCCTTGCAGCTAGACACGAAGCAAGCAAATTCATCAGGATCAAGACCGAGGGGCAAGCGCGTGACACTATCAAGTTGTTCCGGCTTCAGCTTGTCCATCTTGCCTTGAATGCGGATGGTGTCGGCTTCCGCTGCAGCGGCGTCCGTAGCGTGCAGCGCCTCCTGCCTCGCTCTCGCTCCCGTGGAAGACAAAGGCAAACCAGCATCGTCCTGTGGCAACGGTGATTCCGCTTGACTCGGTGGCTCGACGATGAGGCCGGTTGCAGAGTCAGGATCAATCAGAACAGACGCACGCTGGAGGGGGGGGGGGCGATACCACCAAAGGCTGCTGCAACAGGGCTGGGGCTGTCGACGCTGACGGTACCACCGCACGCTCGACCGGTACTGTCGCCGACCCCGTGGCTGATGACGATGATCCTCGCGTAGTCCTGACAGCGGTTTCCGCACAAACATCGCGTCCCACAGGATCTCCCGAAAAGCTCGAAGCGTGGTCTTGCATCGGTGTCGGACGCGTTGGTGGGGAAGAAGATGGGGCAGGTGGTGGCACGCGAGCGTGGGGGGGCACAGGAGGTTGTACATTCGCGTCGGCAGCAGCATCCACTACTTGATTTGCTCGCAGGAGAGTGAGTATTTGTTCCAACAGCATTTCAGTACGGGAAGCCGAAGTCGAGGCGTGTGATGCAGCATGGCGTGGTGACTCAACAGGTCGTCCAAAGGCAAGGAAGATGTGGGATGATCAATGACGGCATGGGCAGGGGCATGGCTTTTCACAGCGGCTGAACGCTCACGAAGTTGCATGTTGGCAAGTTTGAAAGCCTAAGAGGAATTGGTCGGTTGACCTACATCAGCGGGAGGGCGTAGAACAAGCAGTGAAGAACAGAGAGAACCGTCTTCTGAAGCATCCTTGTTTTCCCCCAACAACCCAGAGCTGCGAAAATCACCTCGATCATACATCACTTGCCTGTTACCGTGGCCTGACCTCCGTCTTCCTTTTCCGCCGCGACTGCCGTCAGTGCTGGTCGCCCTGCTATTGCCCCCGCTCTGGTTCTGGCTCCGGCTGCGGCTACGCCTAGACGGAGGCGTGTTTCTCCCACGACGGTCTCCGCTCCGGCTGCGCCCACGCCTAGACGAAGGATTGGTGCGCTGTTGACGTTCTGCGCTCCGACTCCTGCTCCGGCGATGGTGGCTCGCCGGCGAAGACCTGGTAGGCTGGTTCCCACGGCTCGCCCTCGCCTGATATCTCCGACGCCGCGCCTTCGCGAAGACTGGGTGGAGCGGTGGTGGTCGTCCGTCCCGCTCTTGGCCGTCGAATCCCGGTCGCCCCAACGGTTCTTCCAGCTCTTGGACACCGGAGCCGCCGACCTACTGAAGTCCTTGTCCTCTCCAGAACTATGCGCAGGGCGTGAAGAGGCCTGCCGGGGGGCTTGTAGATCGTGCTTGAAGTCGTTGGTCGAGGCAGCACGAGCAAGGGACAGCTGAAGTCCTCCATCTCACCACCGACGTTCCTTGAGGACCTTCATGAAAGGTTGCACGACGGAGAGCGTACAAAAGCTGGAACACGGACTGCCGCGAAGAAGGCGGAAGTTTCGCGAGGTACGGGGTGTGATAGATGTGCCCGAAAGCAACGGTGTGCGGTGGGGGGAATTGTGCACGGACAAGTTGTTTGATGCCAGTCCATGCAACAAGAGCTGCCAATCTGTCCTCATCGTGGAAGGTGACACCTTTTGCAGGCATCTCCACCGGTCGGGAAAGGAACGCTGTATCTCCAACGTTGAACTCGTACACTGTGATTGCCGCCGCAAACGATGCTCCGTCTTCAGCACCGGCCTGAAGACCCAAAGTCACCGAAAACTCCGGAGTCGCTGTCCTCTCCCGCTCCTTCTCGTTCGTCGGAGAAGCCGCTACCTCCCGCTCCTTCTCGTGCGGCGAGGCGATACGATGGGAACCAAGGGGCACCTGGGATTGCGTGGAGGGAGGGACGATAACACGGCGACGGGGGCGGGGGGTTGCTCGCGGGTCCTGGTGGCGGGGCTCCAGCTCCTTCAGCCGCGATCGGAGCGCCCCCTGCTTCGCCCTAGCCGCTTGGAGATACGCCTCACGCTCGGCCAGAACAGCCGCACGCTCCTCCTCCTTCTTCCTCGCCGCAGCAGCCAGGGCAGCCTCACGTTCCGCCAAGTGCTCCACATCCTCGCGCTTCGCCTGCTCTCGCGCCTCCGCCTCTGCTATCGTCCCGGCAAGACCGTCGCACTACATCTCGTTCAACCTTTGGTTCGCCATAAACTCGTCGTGGGGCAAGAGGATTAACTGGTCTTCCGGCGGGAGCGAGAAAGGAGGAACGAAAAGGGGCGAATAGGACGACAGATGGGCCGCTTCTAAAGTATCCTCCCGAGAAACACGTTCGGTGTTGTAGGCCCGCTCCAGTTCCGCCGGATCTGCTGTGGCGATGTTGTCCAGCAAATTATCGACGGTGAACACCATGGGCATGGGGGGGCTCTCGTCCTCTGCACCCGCCGCTGGAAAATGCTCTGCGGTGGGAGCCTCGCCCTCGGGTTCGTAATCCAGGATTTCCACATTGTCGCCCAGGAGTTCCACATTGCCGCTGGAAATGGTGTCCTCTTTGTTAACAAGAACAGGGCCAAAGAGAGGGTAGCTACGATCGATTGTGGAAAGGGCAGCAGGGCCAGAAACAGTAGATGAAGGATAACCAACCGCAGTTGAGGCAGCAGCACCAAGAGCAGCAGAAGCAGTGAAGCCGGGTGCAACTTCGGGAGAAGCAAGCCGAGGTCCGTGCGAAAGGCGGAGATATCCACAAGATAGCATACGCCTAGTGATACAAGCTTGGTGCACACGAGGTTGAAGCGGATCCAACCAAGCAGNAATGGTGTCCTCTTTGTTAACAAGAACAGGGCCAAAGAGAGGGTAGCTACGATCGATTGTGGAAAGGGCAGCAGGGCCAGAAACAGTAGATGAAGGATAACCAACCGCAGTTGAGGCAGCAGCACCAAGAGCAGCAGAAGCAGTGAAGCCGGGTGCAACTTCGGGAGAAGCAAGCCGAGGTCCGTGCGAAAGGCGGAGATATCCACAAGATAGCATACGCCTAGTGATACAAGCTTGGTGCACACGAGGTTGAAGCGGATCCAACCAAGCAGAAAAAGCGTCCAAAAGTACACCATGCCACGCACAAACAGCAGTAGAAGCTAGCACAAAAGGGTCCGTGTTACATGGAGACACGAGGTTTTCCGTCCAAAAGACACGCAGGGCAGCACGGCGTTCCTCCGCAACTGGTGCCGAAGTGCGAGCAACGACCGCTGTGGGTTCTGCTGAAAGGTTTCCAATTCAAATGCTTTGAGGGTGAACGAATCCCCGAAAAAAGTGCCATGTGATTTCGAAAAATGCCGGGAAGGCTGGTGGGGCGGCTGACTCCCAATTTGTGTGCACACATCGCGTTCCAAGTCGATGCAAGCGGAGTCAAATCGGAGAGCTCAACAGGAACATCCGCGGACATCGGCCGGTACGCCGGCATGAATGCAGTAGAGGTGGTAGCAGACGTGGGAAGCATGCTGTCATCTCGGGTCCCACTACACAAGGCCAGCAACTCAGGACGCTCCATGCAGAGGGTATCTGCCACAGAAATCACTTCATGGACCGCCGATACAGACAAAATAGCTTTCGAGGGACGGCGGACGTACGAAAAATCACCCAAAAGATCGCGATGGCCTCCGAGGCGCGTATTCTTTGCAAAGTCCCAGTCCCGCGGGCGCTTCGCAAAAGCATCACAAGCCAGCATCTCTACAGGAGAGGAAGCAGAGAAGATTCTCGCGGGTGGTGAGACCAAACAAGATGCAACTCGGTGGTTGTGAAAAAAGCTTGGCAACAACACACAGCAGTGCGGAAGCCGCGTCCAGCACCCGCTTACCGTGTGATTCCAGCTGACGCCAAATTTCAAGGAGTGAAGCCGTGGGCGGTAGCTTGCTCCTAGAGATAGATGAAGGTTCTGTCGTTGACACGCTTGTCCACGACCACGTTGAGATGGGAAAGTTGCTTGTTATTGCTGAGAGACGATCAGCAAAGGTCTGGGATGAAGTGGGGATCCAACTTCATCTCAGGGGGTACACAGAGTAGACAATTCTAAGGGGNTTGACACGCTTGTCCACGACCACGTTGAGATGGGAAAGTTGCTTGTTACTGCTGAGAATCGATCAGCAAGGGTCTGGGATGAAGTGGGATCCAACTTCATCTCAGGGGGTGCACAGAGTAGACAATTCTAAGGGGGTAGGGGTCAGAAGGGTATATCTCCTGACCGACCCGCATCCTAGCAACAAATAGATGTACCCTATTCATGCTAGCAGCCACACTCCTTATACCGCCTCGCAATACGCGGCGTTTCGCCGCGGCGGCTTCGGCGCCTGCTTGGCGGTGGTTCTCTCGGCCCCACAGCGGCTGCGAGCCCACCGGTGGGCCCGCTGTTACCCCCACTCCTCAACCTGACCGCCAGACGGTCACGTTCGTGGACGTGACCATCGCGGCCTATGCTTCGCCGTGCCACACCGCGCTGGTGCCAGGCACGTGGGGGGGGGCTACGTTGGGCCTTGCGGGGCGGTTTAACCGCAACCGCACGAGTTGAGCGGTCAGGGCTCGTTGGTAGAGGACATGCTTTTGCCATTGGGGGGAGTGCCCGCATATGAGTGCCGCCTCTTCCAACAGCGCTACTCACTGGGCGCATGAAAAACCCGAGGTGAGATGCCCGCTTCGTGCCAATGAAAAAAAAAAAAACATGCACAAGTTGTGTGCGAATCTTTGTGGTGCGAGTTTTCCTCCTTCACGCCCTTCGAAATACATAGACTACGCTGCTGGTAGTTCTCGCCACACTATATCGGTGTCCGTCCGTGTGCCGCGTGCATTATGGCTTTTGGCGGTATTCTTGACTTGGACACTGCAACCATGGTGGTCTCATGTGCGGACATGCATCACTGATTTCTGCGGAACATAGTATGTGGCTTGTTAGTTCCCGAAAAAAAAAAAAATGGACGCACACAACTGCTTCTCGCTGATACCTGTGCCCGTTCGTTCGAGTGCGAGATTTCTTTGGGGTATGACGTAGTACTCCAAGTTAACGTGTCTTGCCCGTGGTAGGCTGCCTGTCCGCACGGAGACATGCGCGCGCGTCGTGTGTCGGATGGCACTGCTGTATGGTTGTGTTGCGAAAGATGCAGCACTGCTTCTCCTTCGTTTGAAAAAAAAAAAATCAACAAGTTGACACACGCACGAATGTTTGCCCGTGGAACACGTGCTCGGTGTTCGGTGTGTCCACAACATGTTCTACTGGGGCGCTCATGGCTGCTTGGTCTCATGTATGTCTGCAATACACACTGATGATGCGGCCTGGGGTCGCACCACGAAGGAGTACCTCCTTCTTGTTGTTGTGTGGTTATTTTCTTCATTCTGCTACGCTTCTTGCTTTCGTTTTATTCAATCCGGTCTATGGTACGTTTTGTTGTGTTCTGCTGCAGTCGAAAGAAAACAACAATACAAAACGATTGCAACGGCGCGCACCGTTCGTTGTGTTGTCGTTCTCACATGAAGGTCGCGCAATCAGCTTTATTAATTTGTTTGACTGCTGGTCGCCGGACACACACAACTTCTTCTCTCATGATTGTCTTGTTCGTTTTGCACTGATACAGTACACACAGCTGTTGTTGCACACAACCCGCCGATGTTGGTGTCAGACGTTTCACAGATACGTCTCGAATGATGTTCGAACTATTGCAAACCGGTGTGCCGCTCTCCCATCCCTCTTGCACACGCCGTGTCCTCACGGTGCTCACGAATGTCTTGTTCCCTTCGCACTGAGTGTGGGTGCACACGCACGCCGGAATGGTTGTTAGGGACCAATAGTTTTCACCTTGTTGCCTTTATCCTTGATTTAGGGGTTTCCACCAAATCGACGAACCAAAAACCCAGACGAAAAAATTCGTACGAATATAAGTGACGGTTGAAAAAACGGATTTCGCTGTTTCCCCGCTAGTGCCGGTTGGAGCCCCCCCCCCCGGAATTTAGTATTATGTCATACGCTAGTCCCGGCCNGGTCTTGGTCGCAGTTGAAGGTGAAGCTGAAAACGTTGAAATTATGGTGATACTGCACGGTCCGGCCACCGTTACGCGCGTTTGACGTCCGCAGCAATGCAGTGGGATGCGGGAGAAGTCTATAGATGGTCTCCATATTGTGAGAGGTGAGAGTGTGCCATGGGGGAGTGGGTGGGTGCAAGGTTTGTGTGCCTTTGTGTGCATTGGCCCGGCCGGTCACAGCAGCGGTAGTTCTTCCGTTCCTGGCTTTTCGGGATTTCCGAGAACGGTCTGCGAACGTTTTTTGGGTGCTGATTTCCGTTGATTTCTTGCTGCTTGTCTTGTTCGCGCACAGCCCCGCCCCCTCCCCCCCCAAACACATAAGCCCGCACGCTCACCTTCCTTCCCCCTGCGCTTCCACCCCCCGACTTCCAAGGTAAGCTTGCCCTCTGTGCTGAGGTTTCCTTTATCGGAGAAACATTTGTTACGAATGACACAACATCTTTGCAGGACCAGATCTACGGGCAAAGGACTAGACTACAGCTGTTGTTTGTTATTTTGGGGTTTCCACCAAATCGACGAACCAAAAACCCGGACGAAAAAATTCGTACGAAAATAAGTGACGGTTGAAAAAACGGATTTCGCTGTTTCCCCGCTAGTGCCGGTTGGAGCCCCCCCCCCCGAATTTAGTATTATGTCATACGCTAGTCCCGGCCTATTTTTTTTCAAAATCCCGCATACACGGAACACGAAGACGCCAGCTGCGCGTACTCTCTTGCGCTGTGTCGCTGTGTGAGCTCACGGTCCACCCTCCTGAAGATATGGCACGCCTAGCGCGTGGTAAGATTCGGTACGAGAGGTATGAAGAATTCCTCCAGATGATGACGGCGGCATTGTTGTGTGCGGTAGTCGGGGAGGAGGAGGTGTTTCTCGTTCTTGCGGTGGTGGCGATGCAGCGACTCCGAGCATACGAACAGCTCGTAGAACCGACCACGCACGCGGGCATGTATCCCACACACAACTTCATGGAGGTCATCGGGGGGTTCGACTTCAGGGAGCTCTTCCGGTTCGAAAAACCCGACTTCATCCTGCTGTTGGAGGTGCAAGAGCTTCCGGCGGAGTTGGAAATACACAGGTGCGTTGCGCCGCGGCAAGGAAGAGTCGAGTGTAGCACTGCTAAATACGCTGCGCAAGAATTGGCTGGCCTTAGACTCCAAGTGAAGTACGCCTGCACTCGTACATACTGCTGTGGTGTGCGAGCATTATTGTAGCAACCCCTCAAGGAATGGCGTGGACTGCTATGCAACTTCCTCTGTTTTTTTCCGGGGGCGAGGTGTGCTCTACCTACTCGCGACAGCTGATAGATAAAACTGTCGGCAGACGTGTGCATCCACGTTCCGAAATGCTGTGAAACACCACACGCATCGTCTACATGTGCCCTCTGTTTACACAGCAGCTGTACAGCAGCTGTGCTGCAGCCGTGCTACATACAGCGTGCCGATGACAGCAGCTGTACAAATGCTGCAATTAATTGTAACAAGCAGGTGTGGCAGACAGAGATCGTGAGCGCGTCAAAGCGATTGACGCTGAACCAACCCACCAAGCATTACCCGGAAAGCTTGTCGAAATCGACCGATAACCGTCGGACATTAGGAATCAGTATAGGAGCAGAGGGTGCACGCTCTATTTTTTGTATTGTTTTGTTTGTGTCCTGTACTTTGGATGCCCTCAACTCAGGCTAGACAGTACGATTACATGGAGCTAACGCTAGCAGGTGTACCGTCTGATTTCGAGAGACCCCAAGAGGTTGTTGCCAGAGTACAGCGAGGAGGTTAGGTGATTTTTGCTTGCTGCTGGGAAGCTGGCACGAGCGCTCCTGCCCCTTTGTATCTGAATGCATGAGCATCCCGAACCAACTGCTATCTGCTACCGCTAAATGCAGCGGCACACCTCGTTCGCCCGTCCCCAACTTTTTTGTTGGTGTGTCCTTGCTTCCATGTCGTCAATGCAGGGGCGGGTTCGGGACATCACGGGTTCCCATGGAGATTGCGTTGGGACTGACGCTTTGGCGCCTGGCTTGTCCCACAACATTGCTGAGAGACAGGCTGTTTTGGGGGATCGGAGAGGCGATGATTTGCGAGATCTTCAACCTCACCATAACGGCGATATATGAGCGGTGGGGGCATCTCGTAGGGCAGTTGCAACACGAGGCTATTCTTCCCAAGATCGATATTTTCTGTGCGGCAATTGAAGGAAGAGGCGCCCCTTTAGACCGGTGTTGGGCCTTCATAGATGGCACTATTAGGGCGATCTCGCGACCTAGGGTCATGCAGAGGCTCTGGTATAACGGTTGGAAACGCAAGCACGCATTGAAGTATCAAGCGGTGGACACTCCCGATGGTATAATCAGGCAGCTGTGGGGGCCGATGCTTGGTCGCCGCCACGATGTAGCTCTTGTAGGGGAAAGCGGGCTGTTGCAGTATTTGGAGCAGTGGTTTAACGACGCCGCAGGAACTCCGTACTACATTTACGGGGACCCTGCGTATCAGTTGTCGCCGTGGTTACAGACCCCGTTTAAAGGGGTGCTGACCCAGGACCAGCAAAATTTTAATTCGGACATGAGCGCTTGTCGTGTGACAGTAGAATGGGGTTTCGGCAAGATCATGGCCCTCTGGCCTTACGTCGACTATGCGAAAAAGCAACATGTAGCTTTAAGTGCCTATGGCCTGGGCAAGCAGTACAGTGTAGCCGGCCTGTTGACCAACTGTCATTCGTGTCTTTACGGTAACTCCACGTCGAAATTTTTCGGGGTTCGCCCGCCGACTCTTCGCAGCTATTTGGCTGGAGAGGGATAGACGGTGCAGGTGCACGACCAGGGTTCGCGAGTAGGAGGAAGGGGGGCGTCGAGGTAGTAGTGAGATACATCAAAGTGTTCGTACATGCCCTTTCCGGGACATGTCGCCGACGAGGGATGATTCGAGGTTAACCTTTAGACGCCTAGGCTTCAGTCGGCTAGACAATATGTCACCGAGCGTAATCGATGTCGAGGGTTGTGCCCATTTAGGTTGCCTCCTTCGAAGGGAACACGTTAAGACGCACGTAATCACGGCTAGTCGAAGCATCCTTAGAGCAATCTTCATTCGAGGTGCGAGAATCACCGGCTATGCATCAACACCGCACTGCCGTACCATTCGTATGCAGGCGAGGGGGGGGATGTTCCACCGGTCCCCGTGTAGGGTGTTTGATGGGCAGAGGAGGCAGCTTAATGAAGGTGCACCGGAGGCCATCAAACACCGCACACAAAGACACACTGCAACACCCGCCACCGAAGATAACCCCTCTACTAGTACATTTCATGGGTCAGACCGACGCACAGCGTCGGTGTCCTACTCTCCCTCGCATACACGCACACGTCGGCCTAGGAAGAGAGAGAAAAAAAAAAAAAGAAAAAATGAAACGGCCTCCCGCTCATGACATACTGGGCGATACATGAAATACATCAACTGTGTCACTGACGTATCATACCATGAATATAGGCAAGCAGGGGGGTGGTACGATAGACCTTTATGACTGGTGTTTGATGGACTGAGGAGCAGCTTTATTCCAAGCTGTGTCTGAGGCCATCAAACACCAGGCACCAAGGCCTATTGTTACACCCGCTACCAATGTAGCGCCTCTAAAATTACAGATCAGAAAGCAGGCCGGCACACAAACACCCATTGGCCCACGGAGAAAAGAAACAGAAAAAGAACAAAAAACAAAACCATACCCGCCCGTCTGCCGCCAGCAAATGTCCAGCGGTGTACCATTCGCCGGGGGAGTTTTGCGAGTAAGGGGTCGCCAAGGATTTAGCAAAAAAAAAAATCACGAAATGAGCACCGGATACTATGTTGTAGAACGCCCACCCAACGACCAATAGTAAATCCGGTTAGCGCGCGTGAGCCGGAATGACAAAGAAACAGGGAAGATTAGGACCGCCCGCGCGCGTGAGCCAGACCGAAAAAAAAGAAAAAGAAAAGAAACAGCGAAAACACATACCCAGGCCTCTCATGGTTCAAGCTTCAGAAGTTAGAGTTCCACAGAGGCCTGCCGTCATCTGCAGTGCGGGCACTCGACCGTCCCACCCCCCCGCCGTGGCTTGGATCGCGGCCACCATGGCCGCTCCTCGCGCGCTTCGCACTGGACCCGGAACCCGACCCGGAACCCGTCCCTCCAAATGCCCGATCCCGACGTGGCCCCGACGCGGAACCCGACGCAGGAATTCCACGGGCGACAGCGGACGGTTGATCGCCGAATCCAGGCATGGCCTGACTCCGAACCCCCGCCCTGCCCGCGTGCACTCCGCCTCCGCCCCC